GGAGGAGGAGGAAGAGAAGGAAGAGGAGGAAGAGGAGGAGGAGGAGGAAGAGGAGGAAGAGAAGAAAGAGGAGGAAGAGAAGGAAGAGGAGGAAGAGGAGGAGGAGGAGGAAGAGGAGGAAGAGAAGAAAGAGGAGGAAGAGAAGGAAGAGGAGAAAGAGAAGGACGAGAAGGAAGAGAAGAAAGAGGAGGAAGAGAAGGACGAGAAGGAAGAGAAGGAAGAGAAGGAAGAGAAGGAAGAGGAGGAAGAGAAGGAAGAGAAGGAAGAGAAGGAAGAGGAGGAAGAGAAGGAAGAGAAGGAAGAGGAGGAAGAGAAGGAAGAGAAGGAAGAGGAGGAAGAGGAGGAAGAGAAGGAAGAGGAGGAAGAGAAGGAAGAGGAGAAAGAGAAGGACGAGAAGGAAGAGGAGGAAGAGAAGGACGAGAAGGAGGAGGAGGAAGAGAAGGAAGAGGAGGAAGAGAAGAAAGAGGAGGAAGAGAAGGAAGAGATGGAAGAGGAGGAAGAGAAGGAAGAGAAGGAAGAGGGGGAAGAAGGAAGAGAAGGAAGAGGAGGAAGAGGAGGAAGAGAAGGAAGAGGAGGAGGAGGAGGAAGAGAAGGAAGAGGAGGAAGAGAAGAAAGAGGAGGAAGAGAAGGAAGAGGAGAAAGAGAAGGACGAGAAGGAAGAGAAGGAAGAGGAGGAAGAGAAGGAAGAGGAGGAAGAGAAGGAAGAGAAGGAAGAGGAGGAAGAGGAGGAGGAGGAGGAAGAGAAGGAAGAGGAGGAAGAGAAGGAAGAGGAGAAAGAAAAGGACGAGAAGGAAGAGGAGGAAGAGAAGGAAGAGAAGGAAGAGGAGGAAGAGAAGGAAGAGATGGAAGAGGAGGAAGAGAAGGAAGAGAAGGAAGAGGAGGAAGAGAAGGAAGAGAAGGAAGAGGAGGAAGAGGAGGAAGAGAAGGAAGAGGAGGAAGGACTCGGAGGTGAAACGTCTGCAGAGTTGGACAGAGAGACTCTCTGAATTATCTCGTCAGGACTGAAGTTATGTAAGAAAGACGGGCGAACTGTACGACTTCACTGAGTCGATGAAGTCAGAGCGGATTCACAGATGTTAGCCAGCGTAACGGTTACTACGACAACCTGGAGAGAGGGGGGGGCTGTGGTCACAGAGGAGGGAAACCCCGAGAGGCAGAGCGAAGCTCGGAGACTTTCAAACCTGTCGAACGTTTCAGACATGAACTCCAGAACTTTTCTAATTCAGCTCAAACTCTGACAGTCAAGTGGTTTCAGGAGGATCTTTAGTTAGGAAACAAACCCTGACCAACCTCTCCGCCGCCGCCGCCGTCACTGCTGCTGCTGCCAACGCCGACCCGCAGCGTGTCATTATGGAAATCATTGTTTGTGTGAGTCGACTGAAGTAGCAGATGCAGAAACAATGTCAACAACAGAGCGCCTGTTCCTCCTAACACCGAGAGGAGAGGAGAGGAGGAGGAAAACACAGAGAGAGAGAGAGAGAGAGAGAGACACACACACACACACACACACACACAGACACATTAACACACACACACACACACACACACACAGACACATTAACACACACACACACAGTAGGTCTTAATTCTGGTTGTTTTTTATCCACTTTAATGTAAGCGCTCTGTTTTCCGCTCGTCTTCCTCACTTCTTCTCTGAACTCCGTCCAGTCTCTTCACCTCTCTCTCTCTCTCTCTCCCTCTCTCTCTCTCTCTCTCTCTCTCTCTCCCTCTCTCTCTCTCTCTCTCTCTCTCTCTCTCTCTCTCTCTCTCTCTCTCCCTCTCTCTCTCTCCCTCTCTCTCCCTCTCTCTCTCCCTCTCCCTCTCGCTCTCTCTCTCTCTCTCTCCCTCTCTCTCTCTCTCTCTCTCTCTCTCTCTCTCTCTCTCTCTCTCTCTCTCTCTCTCTCTCTCTCTCTCTCTCTCTCTCTCTCTCTCTCTCTCTCCCTCTCTCTCTCTCTCTCTCTCTCTCTCTCTCCCTCTCTCTCTCTCCCTCTCTCCCTCTCTCCCTCTCCCTCTCCCTCTCCCTCTCCCTCTCCTCTCTCTCTCTCTCTCTCTCTCTCTCTCTCTCTCTCTCTCTCTCTCTCTCTCTCTCCCTCTCTCTCTCTCTCTCTCTCCCTCTCTCTCTCTCTCTCTCTCTCTCTCTCTCTCTCTCTCTCTCTCTCTCTCTCTCTCTCTCTCTCTCTCTCTCTCCCTCTCTCTCTCTCTCTCTCTCTCTCTCTCTCTCTCTCTCTCTCTCTCTCTCTCTCTCTCCCTCTCCCTCTCCCTCTCCCTCTCCCTCTCCCTCTCCCTCTCTCTCTCTCTCTCTCTCTCTCTCTCTCTCTCTCTCTCTCTCTCTCTCTCTCTCTCTCTCTCTCTCTCTCTCTCTCTCCCCGTCTGTGCGTGTTCAGGGACAATAAGCGCTGATTTGTCAAAGGCAAACACGCCGCTCTATCAAACAACACGGAGGTGGCGGTATCTGCCCTGATCTGTGGATCCCACCCGTGGGAATGAGAGGAAGAGGAAGTTTGACTCTGAGTCTGTGATTACTGCAGAGGAAGGTCCGGATCACTCGTCTTTAAGTCGCCTCTTTATCCAGTTAGATCTAACGATGTAGACGAGGACACACACTTCCACTTCAAACTTCTGTACGGAGGTTTTACAGGCCATGAGAGAGGCTGAAATTAACACTGAAGCCTCTTTACAACTCCTTCAAGAAAATGAAGCGATTAGTGGAGACATTAATTTTTCTAAAGTGTAATTATGAACGCCTGAAAGCTTCCCCTCAGGGCTGGAGTCTGACAAAGTGATTAACAGCAAATGAGGGAAACGTGAGAGTGTCAAAGAACGCAGGAAGAGCTGCTGTGTTCACAGGAGGAGAGTCCCAAACGGACGCACTGACTCCTGATTTCAGAGAGAGTTAAGATTCAGACGAATAAAAAGTCTGAAAAGGTACGAAAACAGTCAGAACTGAACACAGATTATTGAACACAGATTATTGAACACAGATTACTGAACACAGATTACTGAACACAGATTACTGAACACAGTCAGACCTGATCACCAGGTGTGGAGGACAGTAGCAGAGCTAGCACCACCTGCCTCCTGTCCAACCTGCACATTATTATCACTCCAGTTTAGTGATGATAGAACACTTTAACCTTAAACACATCCAACTTTATCACCTCTTTCTATCGTTTACAGACAAACATCTGCTCTCTGCAGCTACAACCTGAACGGGTGGAGGGTGATCCCACGACAGATTAGACTCGACAGAAAAACGTCGCTGTTGGATTTAAATCATAAGAATATTCAGAGTTTAAAGGATTAGTGATGATGATGATTGTTCTGAGGGCGCCGTCAGAGCCTGAGGTGGGAGGAGCCTTCACTTTGACTCGTGTAGACACATGAAGAGCCTGAGGAAGGCGGAGCAGCAGCAAAGACTCCTCAGTTATAATGAATGTGAGGTGAAACATTCACTCTGATGATCAGAGGAGAGATGATTGGCAGTTCAGCTGATAGGGGCGGGTCTTAAGATCAGCCGACATACTGGGGGGCGGGGCATGACCTAATGACCTGCCTGAACTAACTCCAATCTGCTATTTTCACCATTATTTAAACAACAAATACAATAACAGACTGAACATGAAGTTAATCAAGAGGCTAGAATGTCAAAGTAACTAGATGTCTGCAGTCAGAGTTCAATCTAGTTTAAACATTTCTATGATAATATCAACCTTATATGGAAAAAACAACTTTAAAAAGAGAGAGAGAGAGAGAGAGAGAGAGAGAGAGATAGAGAGAGATAGAGCGCACGTGTGATTTTACAGAATCTGTGTGTGTGTGCGTGTGTGTGCGTGTGATCCCCCCCACAGTCGACCTGCACACCCCCTAAAACCAGACAGGCTCATTCAAGGTAATACACCAGGCGGTCAGACTGTAACTCTGTGTGTGTGTGTGTGTGTGTGTGTGTGTGCGTGTGTGTGCCTGTGTTTGCGTGTGTGTGTGTGTGGGTGTGTGTGGTGATATAATGTTCCCGATTGGAAGCAGATGTCATGTTTCCTGATTGTGCTCCTCCAGGAACAGGCGTTCGATAAGGAGCTGCAGACGCCTGGCGGTGGGTGGGTGGGGGAGGGGGTGGGTGGGGTTGGGTGGTGGTGGTGGTGGGGGGGGCTCAGCCCAGCAGCGGTGGGTGAAGTAAGTGCTGCCTGCCTGATTGAAACCATGAGATCCAGTTGCCTTTCTGCCAAGAGAGAAGAATGGGCCGAGCTCTGCTATTAATCGCTGTGACAGGAGCGACAGAGGGGGGAGGGGTCAAGATAGTGGGGTCAGCGGCGTGTTGTTTCAGAGAGCGTCGAGTTGCAGAGTATGGTGAACCCTGAGGGACTAAAAGCTCCGATGTCACATTCCTGAAGAGAATCTGGAGGAGGACGACGTTAAATCATGAAAACACACGAGTGAATGAATGAATGATGCTCGCAGAAACACGGCAACGGGGAGGAGGCGGGAACACACTTAGGAGACACATGATTGGTTTGTTATTTTTGGTGACAGAGTGAGACTTTAGTATGTTAACGTTCACTTCTACAGAGAGACGGTGAGAGGAAAGAGAGAGAAGGACAAAAGGAGATGATAGATGAGGTTAAACTGTAAAACTGGAGCCATCACAGAGAGTGTTTCAGGCTCCGTCTGTTTCTATCTGAAAATACAATCTCCAGTTAAAAGCAGGAGAGCTGGAGTGAAGGAGGAGGAGGAGGAGGAGGAGGAGGAGGATCAGATTTCCTCCTAAGTAGATCCAGAGTGATGTCAGGAGGAAAATTGTACCTGAAGGCAGTTTTATTAAATTATAGTTTTTGTGTTTTTTTCTTCTTAAAGTTGGAATAATAGACGTACACCACATAGATGTCCCTTCCTCTCCTATAGAGTGTTTTTGGTCACAGATTTATGTGGATGTTGACCCAAAGACGAGGCACCATGGGAACCTCAGAGTCAGGCTGACGTTCAGTGAGTCTGGTTCTGGGCAGTCCGTCTTGTACCCTCCCCTGTACTTTATCGTCTATTCTGAAGGTTTGTGTCCACAGGAGGAACATTTTCAGGACGTTAGGAGAGAAGGAGGCGAGATGTCTGCAGAGTGTTTACAGAAGCAGACTCTCACACACTCAGACAGAGAGACGGTTTCAGAGCCCACCAGAACTACAAGAGGGGGTTCAGATCCAACTAGAATACCATGTTCTGATCTGAACAACAGGACTATCTCATATGGTGGTTATTTTTCCCAGCATGCATCAGGGAGGGTGTTGGCAGAGCCTCAATCATTGTGATTTGAACACGGTGGTCCAATAACCTGTGCAGACCATTATCACCTCCCCATGCCCCATTACCCAGTCCAGGTTTCCCTAAACCAAACCAGGAAGGGGGCTGGGGGGCTGGGGGCCCCTGAAGGGTTTCAGGGTTCGACCGTCTTAAACACGAGGCTCAGGGTTTAACTGGAGGCTGGGCGAGAAAACGATAACGAGATCAGGGCCTGACCGATGTGGATTATTTTGGGGCCGATGCCGATTATTAGGGACGAAAACAATCAGATTATTGACGAATCGGCAGATTTTAAAAAATGTTTTATGAAGTTATAAAAAAATTATATATATATATATATATATATATATATATATATATATATATATACGATATATATTGAAAATCAATTTCCCTCAATATCAACATAAAACATGATCAATATCCTTTTCAATAGTCGTCATTCTGACATGTTTTGGTCGACTATACGAACAGCCAATGAAAAGGGGCGTGTCTCCGGGTCTGAACCAATCATGTTCTGAATTAGAACCAAGTATCAACCAACTGCAGCGTCGTAGCAGACAGCAGCTCCACCCAACCATAGCACTTTAACAGGTGAAGCCGACAGCACTGTTGGTGAGAAACAAAGAAAATGAGTGCTACCCCCGACAGAAATGACCATGAAGGCTCAACAGATGACCACATCAATGTCAACCACAACACTGGCGTTAGGAAAACGTCGGTGGTGTGGAGGTATTTTGGTTTTTGGAGGTCGGACATGAAGCAGAGTAATGTGGACTGTAAATTATGTCGAGTACATGTTCTCACAAAGTCGGGGAATACCTCAAATCTTTTTCACCACCTGAAGCAGCGCCACGCCGCAGAGCACGCGCAACGCAAAAGGTTACGAACCCCGAGAGGAGCGAGGAGCCCATGGCGCCTGAAACAGACGACCATTCAGTCGGCTTTCTCTAGAGCGACGCCTTACGACAAAACGTCAAAGAGACACAAAGACCTCACAGATGCAGGAGATTATTGTGTTGGAAAAGACATGAGACCAATAAACACTGTTAGATTTTTATATCAGCTGATATTGATCGATATCAGCTGATAGGAAAATGATTTATGTTGATAAACTTGTTCCCGTATCGCCCAGCCCTAGATTTACTGTAAATCCAGCTGGACTTTTAAAGACGAACCATTTATCAGCTTTACGCCGTGGTTATCTTATTTTAGACCAATGAGGAGAGCTCAGACTCTGGTCAGAGCTCAGCTGATGTTAACCCTTTAGTTTCTACCATCGCCAACGTAACGCAGCAGCATGGCGTCATCGGAGTCTGAACAGTTAGCGAGTGAAGATGATGAGGTCTTCTGTTTTACCTCGTGGTCATGAATGTAAAGTTACTCGACACAGACAGACTCGGCTCTGAGAGGTTTACTGTCAGACCCTGATAGAGCGAGCCGACGCCCCTCAGAGGTCAGAGCTGCTGTTGTTCAGCGTGTTTCTGTACATTAGAGTGGAGAGAGTGGGAGGTGTGAAGGCTGAAGGCCACGTCTCACCTCCAGAGATGCCTGGGATTAGCTGTGCGTGACTGGGACAGGGGAGGTCGGGGGAGAGGAGGAGGCGTTGAGCTGCAGGCTCGTCTTCCTCCAAAGCCCGCCACATTCCTCCATCCAGAGTCCCAGGAGACGGGGGGATGTGGGGGCAGAGCGTTTCCAGACCGCAGCCATCACTCAGGGAAATACGGTGGGAAAATCTTAGAGAGCGACGACGCCGGGCCGAGGCTGCGCCACATATGGAGTCAGGGTCGGTTAGGCCTGTCATGTTTGAGCAAAGATAGCAGGAAGTGAGGAGCGGTTTCTTCCTTTATTTGACGTAAACGTCCCTGACATACAGACATACAGCGAGACGTCTCAGTAAAGCCTCTGAACGATAACTCTCCTGCAGAGCGAGTGTGTGGAGGTCAGGAGGTCAGAAGGCAGCGAGGCGGCGATGAGTGAGGAGGTCAGGAAGTGTGGCGACCTCACGCAGGAAGCAGCAGCAAACATCAGGGTTATCAGAGTATCAGTTCCAGCACAATAGGACAGGTCAGAGCGAGGAGAGAGCGACTCGCACTTCCTGTTGTCTTCATGTATGATGAACAAATATTATATAAGAGAGGAATGATTGATGGTCATTATGTAAGAGAGAGATCTGAACGTACACGAGAACAGAAACACCTCTGATAGAGTTTATCAGGTTTATAACTCCGCCCTTCACAGACCGTCTCCTTCATAAATCAACGTCCTCCTTTTCTATAAAAAACATCAGGAGGAGAATATTCATCATGAAACAGTTACAACAACACAGAGCTAAAAACTAAAAACTACAAACTAAAAACTAAAAACTAAAAACTAAAAATTAAAAACTAAAACTAAAAACTAAAAACTAAAACTAAAAACTAAAAACTAAAACTAAAACTAAAAACTAAAAACTAAAAACTAAAAACTAAAACTAAAAACTAAAAACTAAAAACTAAAACTAAAAACTATCAGCTTCTCTCTAAACCGAGTTCATGTTCCTCCAACACAACAGGAGCCGAGCAGACACGACCTCAGAGCGAGCAAAACGACGTGACGCAGGTCAGATATCAACAATCTTCCACTTCATGAACCTCAAGACTGAATCACCAAATGGGACCAGTTCACTGGTTCACTGGTTCACTGGTTTACTGGTTTACTGGTTTACTGGTTTACTGGTTTACTGGTTCACTGGTTTACTGGTTTACTGGTTTACTGGTTTACTGGTTTACTGGTTTTGTCGGCAGCGTCTCAAAAACACATCGTGGAGTTTAACACACGGCTTCACCTCAGGAATCGTTGCGGCCCGGTTTTGCGGCGTTCTGACATCATTAGTTCAAAGGTCGTTAAAAAAAAACCTTCGGTCTCAAATACGGAGAGAAAAGAGTGAAAATAAAACCAGTCTGACTGTGGAGGAAACTGGGACCAGTGTCCGTCTTCTTCTTCTTCATCACAACATCTCCACAGAGACAGACGGAGACCTCAGAGCTGGGACTGAAAACTCCACCTACCCATCAGCCCCGGTGCTCGCCATCCTCCTTTTCATTTAGCCAAAGTGCTGACAGGGCGTTTTCCCTACAGTCCACAACAAATCAGCTGGTGACACGCCGCCGTGATCACAGCGCTCAAACAACACCAACGCCAACGCCGTCTGAGCAGACCTGATTTACGCTCCGCCGTCTCAGACCTCGTCCTTTAGGGTAAAATAAACAGACGGACCACCCAGAGACCGCTGAAGGGGGGCAGCTGGAGACCCCTCCACTACAGGGTCTAATGGACCACCTTAACAAGGTCAGAGAGTCCTCGACCTGTTCCCGGTCCACGACCACGCTAATGCTCCTAACAGTAAACTCAAGAAACGAGGCGACCCTCCGTCTCTGCAGTGAAACTGGAGAACGTCTGCGAGGCGACCTTCTGTGAGGCGACCTTCTGTGAGGCGACCTTCTGTGAGGCGACCTTCTGCGCGGCGACCTTCTGCACGTCACTCCAGGTCTGACTTTGGGGATAGAAGAGCGCCAAAGTCTCCTCGTTTCTTCAGGAAGTGTTTGGTTGTCTTCCCTCCCTTCCTGGCGGACAGCTGCGGCGGCGGCGGACAGTTGCTCACACATCAACAGGACCTCCTCGGAGATTACAGCCCCATCTGCTCTCACGGCGTTTACTCGGCTCCTGTGTCACCTGTCTGTCGGGGTGATTCAGTGGAGGACGTCTGTGGACATGTGTCTCTGTCACACTTGTGTGTGATTGTATTCACCTCATGTGTGAAGACCCTGAGACTGTAGACGACCTGACGTGACCTCTGACCTCTGAGCCTGATGTTTATTCGGAGTGACCCTCTCTTAGAAGTGACCTTCAGGAAACTGCAGCAAACACCGTCGACTCCTTTTTTTAAGCTCCTACCTCGACCTGATCAGCCTCGCTCTCCACCTGTCTGTGATTCTGAGCTTCAGTTTCTCAGACAAACTCGTACAGGAGAGTTTCTGGATTTGGTCTGAGTGTTTGTAACCAGGTTCAGAGGCCACCGTAGCTCCACCTACAGGAGGGGTGAGCAAGAGAGCGCTTCAACCAAGAATCTAAACCGAATTATTCTGTGAAGTATTTACAAATTTTACATACTGTACCTTTAATTCTGCTGCAAACAAGACAAACAGTGAGGAGATTCATCTTTAACGAAATATACTATCATTTTATTAAATATACTATCATTTTATTAAATATACTATCATTTTATAAAATATACTATCATTTTATAAAATATACTATCATTTTATTAAATATACTATCATTTTATAAAATATACTATCATTTTATAAAATATACTATCATTTTATTAAATATACTATCATTTTATAAAATATACTACCGTTTTATAAAATATACTATCATTTTATAAAATATACTATCATTTTATAAAATATACTATCATTTTATAGAGTAAACTACTGTTTTATAAAATATACTATCATTTATAAAATATACTATCATTTTATAAAGTAAACTACTGTTTTATTAAATATACTATCATTTTATAAAATATACTATCATTTTATAAAGTAAACTACTGTTTTATTAAATATACTATCATTTTATTAAATATACTACTGTTTTATAAAGTATACTATCATTTTATAAAGTAAACTACTGTTTTATTAAATATACTATCATTTTATAGAGTAAA